GAAATGTAAAAGTGAGTTTGTTTGTTTGTCACACCTTCACACCTAAATCACTAAACTGATTTCATAAATTCTTTCACCAATGGAAATATGAGTATAACAAATGTATCAGCGAGCAATATGGGCTACTTTTTGCCGCAATAACCGACAGGTGGGCCGCGGGTAAAAGTTACAGTACAGATAAAAATAAACGTGATATGTTAATATACATGTGATAAGAATTAAAAAATAACTTTTTTGTATCAGTTTATATCAGCACGATTTTATCAAATTGCTTTTAATCACAACAAATCTGTTTGTTGTGATAAAAAGTTAATGAAATTAAATAAGTCATTATTTAATATTCCGATGCAGTGAGGAACTGCCAACAAGGCAGGGAAAAACTGATGAGGAGAGAATGTCCGGCATTGGCATAGTAAAGGCTGATGTTAATGATGATGAAAATGATTAATGAACTCTGTAAATTCTCGGTAATAATCACGACTATTAATATTTTTATTCTAAACAACACAACTCCCGCACTAGGAATATATCCTGTGTCATGGGAGACTTTACAAACATTCAAGAACGGACACAAATAACACCTAGACTCAGAACAATAATTTGTGGATTACACAAAGTGTTGTCTAATGTCGGGATCAAACTCAAAAGCGTTGCGTGCAGCCATGAAAAAATAAATAAATATTACAGGGGGTTGAAGCCCCCGTTTCATGATCTGAATATGAACGTATTTGTCGCGAAGTTGAGCGCAATAACCTTATTAAAATTCCCTGCAAGTATATGTTTGCAACGGTTAGCAACAATTGAACTAAATAAAATACACTTTCAACTGCTCCAGTAATATGTAGATTAATTGGTACGTCACACAAGCGTTGACCTCATACGAATGAGCTAGGAAGTTTCCTACTAGGCGAGTGTCAACTTGGGAAATGTTCTAGATTTCATTTCTGTGAGCTTTTGAACACCAGAGTCGCTTATGATGATTTGGTAAATTATGAAACGGTATGTTTTATATTTCATCGCGTTCACAACTTCTTTTCTTAATAACGAAATGGCATTCTCAAAAGGGCATACAAAATTTAATAAGCCACTTACATATGAACTACCGTAGGGTACGATAATTGCTTGCCATCAGACTATTATCAACAGCGTTTAACGGTCCCCTGCTGGACATGGCCTCTCTTTCGAAAGGAGCTTTTGGCCTTTTATACCGTGCTGTCCAGGCCTATTATTATAGGGTTCGTTTCAAGGTTTCAGTGCTGTTGTCCTGCGTAGTTTACTCAGTAGGCCCTTACGACACCCATGGGATGAATAGGGGTGGTGGCACTCCCTGTTCTTAATCCGGCACCACATGGATACGTCAGGCTATATTTGATTAAAAAATATAGTCAATATTATCCTGAAGATTATAAGTTTTGCCCAGATGAATGAAATTAATGGGTCCTTTATCATTCCCTGAAACGTTTATCATCCGTATACCTTTAATGTCAAACCATATATTATTTGTTTGATAGGTATTAATTATGAACAAGATCTTAACGTTACGACTGCGGAAGTCTCTACCTAACAAAGGACCGGTTCACAGCAACTATTAGTTTGTAGTAAATAGTTCTACTATAGTAGTTACATCGTCTTTGCTATCGTTACCCTACTACAAGGCGAATATAGTACTTTTTTGCGTTAAACGCTAATTTATATTATTATTTATAGAGATATGATCAGAAGTTTGTCAATAAAATCCATCCATCGATCAAGACTTTATCAAAACAGGAAATTTATCACAATGACGTACCTCTGTTACCCTGCTTATGCAATCGTTTATCATTGTTCCTACACAGACTGATATACAGTCGGGAATAGTTTTGTATCTTCAGTACTGATAATATGTAGTCAGAGGCCCAAGTGCGAGTTCCGAGGTTCAAGCTCTCAACTGCGAGTTCGGCATTGTGATTGGTTAAGATTTCAGTGCGGGCTAATCGCAGCACCGAACGCGCTCACCGTGACGATTGAGTGGATGTAAAATAAACTTGGTCCTCAAAGTGCCAACCGTATTATGTTATGAGTCTTAGGAAATATCGGCGCCTTCTAGCTATAAAGTCCGATTTTTAAAAATATCTGAAAAGATTTACTAACAGAAATAAATATCATTTATTTACTTAGACACAGAGGTACTCGTGTAGTTAATTTTATTTGTTACTTGAGGCATAACTTGAGGTTTAACTGAACATATCTTGTATGCTGGTGTTTGAAGTATCAGGAAGCCTTACTTCCCTGAACAAGCGGAAATCACAAGACACTATAACTTAATCATAATAATATCTATATTATAGTGGTATGATGACGGAAGGCTGTGTTTCTTAAGCTGAATAATTCTAGTAGGTTTAATATTGTAGTTACTGTTAGTGATGTGCACACGAATAAGTAATTCTTTAATTGCATTTTGACTGCACGGATGACTTAATGGTTTAAGCGGTCACGCCTTCCGACTGCGCCGAGTGTTGTGAGTTCGGTCCCCACATGGGACAACACTTTTTGTGATCCACAAATTGTTGTTCTGAGTCTGGGTGTTCTTTGTGTCCGTTTCATGTATGTCTGTAAAGTTCCTCGCGACACAGTAATGTGGTAGTTGTCTTTAAAAATACCGAATAAGCGAGCTTTACCGGAGGCGGAACCCCCTTTGAAATATTTTAAAACCAAGCTCTTGAATCAAGCAGTATACACACATATAAAGATTTAGATCGATTAAAATAAACGGTATTATTAATCCATATATCACAAATTTTCACCGTTCTGTAAAACTGATTGCACCGTCACTACACACGTACGTAATACTAAGATATAATGGGCACGAAGCAGGTGTCGGCAACGTGACCTGCACACACCATTGCCAAGTTCACGATTAAATGCTGAAGTCGAACATTTTGCCTTGGCATTATGTTGTTACTGGTGTTAGGGATTTATAAACGACTAGCTGTTGCCCGCGGTTCCGCCTGCTTGTATCTCGGTTATCGCGGTAAAATTAGACTATGTTTATTCCTTTTAAGAATCAAGCTATCTTCATACCAAATTTCATCTAAATCGGTTCATCGGTTATTGTTTCCCCTTATAAACTTCCACCCCCAATTTCATCCCCCTAAAGGATGAGTTCTGGAATAAAAACTATTCTATGTCCTTTCCTAGGACTCCAACAATATCTATACCAAATTTCATCTAAGTCGGTTTAGCAGTTTAAGAGTGAAGAGATAATACACAGACAGACAGACACACTTGCGCATTTATAATATTAGTATGGATATGGATTAGTATTGATGTACCTAAATACAATTAATGAACCTAAACCGATTAAACGAAGGTAGGATTCTGAGTATGATTACAAACAAAAATTAAACCTACAGTAGTTCTATTATTTACTAGCTATTCCTTGCAATTTTACCCGCATTTGTGGTTACTGCTCCGCTCTTAAGCTCTTAGCTAGATACATAATAAAAATGATATTTTTTTTGGACATCTTACACATACCGCCATAGTTTCAAACTAAGCAGAGTTGTACTATGAAAGCTAGATTGACTGATAGAATACTTTTTTGTAAACAATAACAAAACATACATATTATACATAAAAAACACACAAACTCCGAAGCTAATATTTGCAGATCATACAAACGTTTGTTCCGACCTGGAAATCAAAATCCGAGACCTCAGCACGGCAGTCGCATACGTTGCCGCTGCACCACGAGGCCGTCCCTCATACAAAGCATTTAAGCTATGAAACAACAAATTGTTAGCTGATTATTTTATACTAGGTTTTGCTTTTGAAATCGCAGTCGTTAGTCGAGCGTAGTCGCAATCTTGCTGTAATCAATACATTCTTGAGAGAAAAACAGGTTGCCTATGTGCTATTCTATACTATAATTTGTGCTAAATTATATCCAGATCAGCCGTCCAGGCGTGATCCAAAACATTATCCATACTAACATTTGCATTTATATTAGTAGTACGATTGGTTATTAGTACCCGAGACGGCGTGCGGTTTTAGTCGGTTCGAGTCCGGCATGACAGGTGGTATCCGAGGGGATTTCCGCACGGAAAAAAAAAAGTAGTACGATTTTTAAATAGAGATTTTTGTAACGGCTCTGCTACCGACTTAGCTTTTCAGATATATTAAAGACAATAATTTCAACTGAAGCAACCAAAACACTGTCCGTGTGGTGAAGGATTAAGAATACGGAATGTCATCACCCCTGTTCATCCCGTGGGTGTCGTAAGAGCCGACTAAGGGAACAAACTACGCAGGACAACAGCACTGCAAAGAGAGGGAAAACTTGAAACAAACTCTATACCAACCTGTCTGGCCAGCGTGGTATAGTAGGCCAAACCCTCCTTTCTAAGGTCTATGTTCAGCAGTGGACTAGTGGTGGCTGTTGATGAACCAAAACACATCTTTACACCATTATATAATTATTTACACCACCATATAGTATTCAATAAATAAAACTATATTTGTAGTGGGGCCAGTAAAGAACACAAACATTGCTTACACCAACAACACTACGTAATGTTCATAATGTTTTCAGAACTTAGAATTTTGAAATTATATTAACACCTGTATGTCTAAACGGCTAGGCGGTGTGATTTTGCTCGAATTGTCTGCGTACATAGCACATTCACATTTTGATTATGGCAACCACTAAGTGGTTATTATGGAACAATGTTGCGTTTTCTACTATCATTACCAAAATTACATTTCAGTTGTGGTGAAATAAGTTTATTATAAACACTCAAACGATAGTATTATTTATGATAATTTTACGACAAAGCTACGCCTGTGAACGGCCGATGTGAAATTTCAATAATCAAGTAAACAAAGCAATAGAGCTCAAATAACCAATAATCGTTTATTTTATAGCTCAATCATAGCCAGACATAACAAATTACCATAACAATGGCTTTTCATATACAAAGCCCGGAACAGGTACATTATTATTTACATAATGTTTGTTGCAGCATCGTCCCTGGGCGCGGCGATCACGATGCCGATCTGTGGGTTCCTCATCGCGCACTTAGGATGGGAGTCGGCTTTCTATTTTACTGGTAATATAACCTATAAAATGTTATTATGTATTATTGCATAAGGGCCATCGCAAATATGCTGCGTTGAGTCTCGGAAACAGGTGTATTTATGTCTATTTTGACACTTCATGGAGGTTTCCTGGTCAGTTGGTGTGCCATGCATCCGAAAAAGGCCTGAATCGTCACCGCATGTAGCGCTTGCGTGCGATGACTCAAACCTTTCTAGGTTACTGTGTGTAGGTGTATATTCTAAAAGGAGGTAGGGATACAAGATGTTTGCTCGACCGACTAAGAAAAACTTGTTTAAATATAAGCATGGTTTCTCACATGTCGTTATTTATATTTTTTATTAATAACGCGTAAATAAAAAAAAAACTACTTACGTATGTAAGATATGCAAATATCATAAAGTTTATCTATGTCCAGAAGTGGACTATTAAAGGCTGTTGATGTGATGTGACATACAATTTGGACTATCATTAAGCATCAATATTTTCTTGACTTGTCGATTCTTGATTACCAAAACTAATTAAATACATATCTAAATTCTAAATAGATTACGGTATAAACATCATGAAAATGACTATCGATTATATAGTGGATTAATAAATTATAGAATCGAATACCCTATAACCCTTTTAACGCCGGGTCCTTCGTAAGAAATTACTTCTTGCTGAATTAAGGTCAAACGGATCTTGTCGACCCAGCACTAAAATTTATAGTAATTCAACGAATGTTTTATGGATGTGCAGAATATTTACAAGCAATAAAAGCACTTTAAGTATATTTACGTAGGATTTTACTGGTTTTCCTATTTAGGTAAGTGTACTGTTGTACGCTGTTTCTATTGTCCCGGTTTCCAAACGAGGTTACACTCGTTAATATATTGTGTATTAGTACATATGTTATTGGTACAGTATATTGTAAAAATATGTATTTAATATTGGTAAACAAAGAATTGCAAGTTGACCGGTTTGAAGTTAAAAGAGATTGATTGGTACTTGGACGGTTTCGATTTTACCTCTTATCTATTATCACTGTCCTTCTCCCTTTCAATGTAGACCTTGATTTTAAATTATTAATTTATCTCTAAAACAGCTATAATCGGAGTGATGTGGTCTGTCGCATGGTTCGCCGTCGTTTACGATACGCCTGCTCAGCACCCTCGCATCTCGGAGACTGAACGCAATTATCTGATGAAGGTTATACCACAAGACTCCAACGGCAAAGGGGTAAGTGTCAAAAAGGAAAAACTGTTTTAGTCTGATTGCTAGACTGGGATAAAAATATGTTTTCTATATAAATCTTGCTCGCCAAGGACTAAGTTCTTTAGTCATTTTTTTGCTTACTGAAGCAATGCGTTCTACTAACAACGTAAACTATATAATACCATAAAGGTTCAGCTAATTAATAGGATATGTCGTACTTTAGACCTAGTTCGAAAAATGCTGAAGTTTAATTGTGCAAAAGTAACAAATAGACTGGCAAAAAGTCACTTATTACAAATTTTATTAAAAGTCCATACAGCCACTTCGGCTTAAAATTGTTATAAATATAGAAAATTTACTGATTTTGACATTAAAACAGTAATTTGTTCAGTTTGATAAACCCTTTTTAGAGCACTACTATATAAAATACAATTAATTAAAAAATTACAATAGCAATGAAAAAATACGGCTTACGAATAAAAAATAAGGAACTAAAATAAAAATTGATTACATAAGAAAGTGGTTGTTAAATTCACGTCAGCGTACATAATACAATCGTTACGGCGGCGCTATTTTTAAAAATTAAATGCATTGGGTGCCTCACGACATGTATATTTTACGCATAAGTTATTTATACATGAGTCGAGTAGAGTCGAGTATGTTACCTAGAGTCGGCTACCTAGTCTATTATTATACAAAACTGCACAAAACGGATTTGTATGATATACACGTTTTTATATTAAAGAAATATTTTGTTATCTTTTACTAAAGATAGTACCTAAATATAGACTTGCACGATCATTTTCGGTTATGAGCGTTTCGGCGTTTTAATTACATGCGCGTGATTAGTAGGAGAAATCAAGAGGCCTGCCATGAACTCTTAAAATAGCCGAGAGAGAATTGTCGTATAACAGCAGGCGAGTCAGTGCAGTTGGATACAGACAATCTTCAGCATCTTAGCATAAAAATAACGACAGCAACCTAACGCAACATCGTATAAAATGTAATATTGTAACAGAACAACATACGATTAAAGATTTACTTTCAAAAGTTACAGAAAATGAAATAAAAATTGATTAGATAACAACAATTACTGAATTTACTAAGTATGTTACTTTACCAGTAACTCGTAAATCTAATGTGAAAATTTAAAAGTAATAATATTCCTAATGAGGTCGGTAGATTCCATTTTTTTTCATAATTTTATGAAAATAACGCTTAAATTCTGTTTAGAGAGAATTGCTTAAATGCATTACATCAGCTTGGTGTACTGTGATATTACATACATTCTTAATTCCCATTCTCTACTGACAATGAATATTTGAATACGGTATAACTTCCTACTTCCTATACTGGACTAATTTCATGTAGTACTTAGTATTTTATAGATAAGTTTTCATTTGGCCGAGATTTCGTTCGCATTGAAGTATTTTTATCTACATATCCTTTTTGTCTGTATTCCTGGTAAAGTGTATGTAAAATTTCGTAATGAGTGGAAAACAGCACAGCCAAATGCCATTTCTTTGTTCGATTTCCACATGGCAACATAATTATTCTCTTGGTGTAATTTGTGCCCGATAATGATATGTCGAAAACGCATGTTTTTTTTTAAACAATAAGTTAAATGAAGTAGTTAAATACAGTGTACAGCTCATTAAGGTTATTAACCGTTCTGATTTCCTCCAGCTGTTCTCGAGTTCACAATCATTCTCTATAATATTTAGCATAGCTTAATGGAACATACACTTATGTATTCAAACGATTATATTCAAATAACCAGCCTTGGGCTTATAAAGTTGCAGCTGATTTGCGATGTACGCTGAAAGAATTTTAATGTGTCACATTGTGTACTCGTATTGCCGAAATTTTCCTATGTTCCTATAAATAACTGATTATAGATTCAATGAAGAAACGCTAATATATGGCTATTTTTTAAAAATAAAATGTATAATTAAACGGAACTTTGTTCTAGAAAAGTTCTGGATCCATTTCCCCTCTTAGTTTTAGTTAGTTTCTTTGTTACTTTGCAGTCAAAGAAGCAATTCAAGTTGAAGTATATAGGTATGCTACCTTTTCTTCCTTTCTGATCTAGCTTTGTGTATACTATTTCATAGTTTTTTAAACAAAATTATTTTTTATGTTTTTTAAGTTAAGTTGTCTATCGCTACACCATAAAAAACATTTGTTAACAAAATATGTATCCAATTTCTTTACATTCTATAATCTAGCAGCAGTCATGCCGCTAGCTTGATCCTTTAAAACTAACACAATTCATATATTGGGGGTTTAACGTCAAATAATGATTATGTATGTATTTTGATTTAAATGATTTATAATGACTGAAGAATTAATTATTTTTGGCTGTTAGGTATCTTGAACATTTGTTCCATTGTGCAATAGGAAAATAGGTACCAATACATATATTTTTTTGTTGTACATACATATGTATATACCTGCCTCTTTTGTTATTTGTGGAATTATTGTTATTATATTTAATTTTCAACAACCTGTGAATTAATGAAACCGCAGGCGCCCGTCTGCCATTGTTTTAAAGTTAGTTTGTCATAATACGGAATGGGTAAAAAACCACAACTTATCGGTATGTGTGTACACAGAAAATAAAATTAGCACAATGTTAAAAAATCGGCGTCACGTATGATGGTGGACCTAAAGAATTACAAAAAAATAATCGTTGCAGTGTTCTTTATGGTCTTTGTCGCTAATGCTTCTGTGAGAACCTGTTTTTTTTTTTTATTATTATTTTTTAAATGTATTGTGAGGCAGTATGATTTTTAATTAAAATTCCTTTCCGCGTTATTCCTTGTGTACGTCTAACGCCTTTTCCTTACTTGGCAAATTCCATTGGATTCTAAGAATTGCATCCGTTTTGTGCAAAGAGATAATAAAACGCGTCGTGACTTTTATATTTTATCGCAAATACAATAGTCGCGGCTTGTCTTTTATGATAAAAGTAATTGAAATTAAAACAGAAACGCGTAACTGCTGAAATAATGAAGCTTTTTAGTATCAATAAAATTAAAACGAGTTTAGCTTCTGGTCTCCTATTGTGTTTCTGATGTTAGGTCCCCCAAGTTCTGCGCAGTTTCTGTCATTCGGGCCATGTGTATATTGTATTGTATTCAAGACTAATAAGAATTTAAAAATATATATGTATGTAAAATAAATAATGCTCAGTCGTAATAAGGGCATAATTAATAATGAATTAAATTATTAAACTTTATTTAAGATTATGATTCTACTTATAAAACATATTAATTGGTGTTGTTACATTATAAATGCACATTACATTACTCACATACTCGTAGTTCCATACTAACTTGTATATAAACATATACTTAGTTCCACCATTAACAATCAGTTTATATTTTTTAATATTTTGTCTTAAATGATTTTTGATAATGACAAATATCTAAAACGGGTGCGGTTCATATAGAAATACTTAGATTGTGCATGATTATTAATAATATTCGCTGATAAATTAGGCGATAAAATCAACAGGCAAGAGCGACATACTAGCCTATTATGGGAATGCTAATTTTTACCTAAAACTGTTCCTAGTTTATTATAACTAATAGTAGGTAGGAGGGAGAGCCATGCTTCACCACTTACTATCAGAACTTCAAAGCGGCTATTTTAATATTGTATTTATAAATAGACTGTCGATGGACAGGCGTCGGAATACTTTTGCACTTTTCGTATTCAACTAACTATGTAAGACCTTGGCCTATGGCCTTTCGATGACTTGTCAGTGAACTGCCACTGATACAAATGTCGTCAATGTTTTTGTAATAGTTTGGTAAACGGTGCATTAAAATTTGTAGGGAAATTTTATATTGAATTTTACAGATATGACAATGTTGTTGAAATGACCATTGACGAGACAATGTCACTACATCGACAGTCTATTGACACTGAATTTATGTTAGTAGAATACCAATATTTTGACCGATGTCAATTGCATCTCAATAGCGTGTCAATGGAATGACAGTGGCTTGCACTTTAACATAAAATAACAGAATTGAGGCCCTGTTCGTTTGGTCATCGTTTGGCTTAGAGGGCTATGTCATAAAAAATGAAAATGTGATGTAAAAGCAGTTCTCATGTAGCTAATACTTTAATTTAGATTTTACAGAATTTGCCCTCTGAGCCTTTTTGTTTTTGAGTTTGGCATCAAAAATTCTTATTTTTAGGTTCTTGTAAATTATGTATGATCATAACATCAATCAAATTGAGTTATTAAAAAACGATGAAGGTTGAGTGGGGATTACGTTGCATTATCTCGTTTAACTGTATCAGGGAATCACCCAAGCAGTGAATCTTGGTAAAGTCTTATCAAGCGTGTTTGTCGATAGGGTTTCTGAGAATATACTTATACTTACTATAAACACATGATATACACGTGATTTAAACTTAGTTTTGAATTTATTGTATACAAAATTTGTTTACTTTTCGAATTCTCATTAAAAAAAAATTACGATTAAAAATAATTAATTCTAAAATTTTCTTTTTATGTATTACGTATAAATACACAATTTTTGAGCAGGATTTAAGTCGTTAAAACACTTTATATATTTTTTATTGTACATATGTATTTATAATACCTACTTGCTTAATTTTTAATGATCTATGTATATCGAATGGTGCAGCCGACTATCTCCTAAACTAAAATATTAGAATTGTATCTAAGTAGATCTATATTATTTACAGCACATGCCAATACCTTGGAGAGGTCTACTCCTCTGCCCTGCGGTGTGGGCTATCATCTTCACCCACGGCGCCTCCGTCTTCGGCTACTTCACCGTCGTCAACCAGCTGCCCAGCTACATCGAGAGCATCTTACACTATGATATTCATCACGTGAGTATTAGTATTATATTACTATGAATTAAGGATGCTAAACACCAGTGAACTCGAACACAAATATTTTAAATAAATTAAAAAAAAAAAACGTTATTTTAAATTGTAAAAAGCTATGCACTTACCTTAGAGGTCAAATATTTTCTTCAAAGAAGAATTGCAGATCCTCTACACCTCGTAATATATGACGGATGATTATGAAATTTGTACCGTTTATAAAGTGAATCATCTTATTTTCATGTAATTATTATATTTTAGAACTTTGCTAAAAGTATATAAATAGTTCTCAAAAAATTATTACAACTACAAGAACTAAACGTTCAAGTGTCGTCAACAAAACAAACTCCTACGTTTTCTAAATTTGCCATGCATAAATATTAATTAAATAAAAAACCGATATGTTCAAATCAAAATTGATGAATGAGCTCTCTAGTGTATTTAGCAATTAAAAACAAACATTTCTGTTATTACTAATGTTGACTTTACAGGAATAAAGGCATAAATTATTTTAAATCGATTAATTTTAGAAAATTTACTAATAATTATTATTCAAATCGAATAATCATGAACACAATGTAAAAAAGTAATTTAATTGATTTGACAGGACAACATTTTATTGTAGACGGATCAAGAAATCGTATGTAAACGAATGATTTTGATTTTAATAATAAAGTAACCAACCTACGTTAACTTGTTGACAGCAATGAGTGTCAGCAGAGCAGAATATTATATATAAAGATGTCCTTTAGTATACTCTTATGTATATAATAAAAATAATATAGTAGTATTATTACTATTATTACTCCACATTAGTAGTATTAGTAGTATCAACATTGCACCCATGCGAAGCCGGGGCGGATCGCTAGTATTCTATAATAACGTAACTAACCTAACACGCCCAGCCATATACAGAATATTTACATCGTGCTTCTTTTGTTCGTCGCGAATATTTGATCCAATGTCATTATGTTAATCAATATGGACACTTCACCTTAGAAGCTTCGGCTGCTTTAGAGTGCAAAACACTTTCCGCTGCACTTCAAATTTGTGTCTTTATAAAAATTGTAAAATGTACGAGTATGACTGTTTTCTGTGTGGTGATGGATCGACAATACGGAATGTCACTATCCCGTGGGTGTCGTAAGACGACTAAGGGAGCAAACTAACAAAACCCTTTTTTCAACCGGTCTGGCCAGGGTGTTATAGTAGGCCAAAATCTCTAAGGAGCCTGTGTCCAGCAGTTTTTTGTTAAAGGGTGTTGATGTGATGATGTGATATGACTGTTAGCATGCTTCTTTAAGAGGGGTGGAAATTTCCGGCAATGGCCAATGCGACGTCACAGGTGTGCAATCTTGATCTTGACCAGCTCTAGCTATTGATTATATTTCTCAATCCATCCGTATAAGCAATATTCGTTTCTTGCCATTGCCTTCTCTTTCATTTTCTCATCTAATCACTAAAGTATCCGATTAACGACAATAGGCTATTACGAATGTCGGACTAAAATTATTAGTTAGAGAAAAGTGACCACCTGTCTAAGGTGTATAGGTGTAAAAGTACGTATATTAATGAAGCGTTTAATATCACATTATTATCACATCAACAGCCTTTAATAGTCCACTGCTGGACATAGGCCTCTCCTTAGAAAGTAGGTAATATACGCAATGGTTTTTACTTTTGGCCCTACTTTCTCCAAACACGCTCCAAAAGTGCCTTTTTTTTTCTCTTTCCCATGATGCTTCATGTATCCTCAATGTTGAGGATACATGACAAATAACCGTACTCGTTTCCATGAAAACTTATAAAAGTGACAGACAAAAAAAAAACTAATTGTAAAAACTGTGTAGTCATTTATATTTTATCTAGTTTTTTCATAAACCAAATATGATTAGCAAAGATTCAACGTCCAAATTATTTGGATGCCTTTGTATGTTAAAAGTAATAACAAGTAAAAAGATAAGCGATTATTTAAGCTTTATTTATTTGAGCACAAAGTTGAAAATGATATCTGCCTACCTGGCCCGTTTAGTAATTCGCGCCCTTATTGTACGGTGACCATACTAAGAGTAAGCGAAAGTCGGACAGTTTCTTGCTAAATGAAATTTATATTTTGCACGCGATTGCACAAATATTGCGTAACTTTGCTCCTTTTTTGTTTATTTTAAATAATGATGTTTAACATCTGATACTTATTTTTACTGGAACCTATCAAATATTAAGATTATTATTGCGCCAAGTTTTGCGAAATCGCCTTTCAAAATATAAGCTTTACACATGTTGATGGATCGTCGCGATCTGAGCCACCGCTATTTTTTTTTTTATATTTACACAAGCGTTAATTATGGCCATTTGAAAGTCTACTTTGGTCCATGTAGTTATGTGGAGACCTCGCGATAAGCTTCCTACTGTCCGTTGTATGAACATGTTTCCTTCAGTGTTTATTTGTACTTCATATTGGTATTTGATATGCCTATATTTGGAGGGAAGTGGATTAATTATATTCAACTCCAACTCCTGCAATTTTCTTCAAGCTAATTTCGTTACGGGTTCCAAGAAAGTTTGATTTTTCCTAGGACTTCATGAGTGTCAGGTGTACAGGAGTTACAGTGGAGGGGGTGTGGGAGGGACGAGTCCCGTAAAAATGCCTATAAGTATTAAATTAAAAACGTATTCAAATAGTGAATTATTAATGATTTAAAGATGAAGATTTAACAGTAGCAGTATAACGATGACATGTATGATCACTGTATTAGGTACGTGTAACTTGTGTATGGCCTATCAGGTTACGCACTTCTCCTATAGAGGAACAGGGTGTTTGTCCTACGAATATATAGCAGTTGTTCTGAAGGTCTTTTTATTAAAGGGAACTAAGTATCCATATCAATAAATCATTGTCAATTACTGGGTAGTTTTTATCAATACGCAAGGTCACATTAATTAAACTATAAACTAACGAACTAGAATAGAATTAGTTGGCAATATTTATCGCTGTACGTGCTGCGGCATTTGACGCCGTTTTAAATGATAGATGATTTCGTTAGAAATGTCATTGCACGTGGAACGTGTTTACTTTTGTTACGTAATTCGTAAGTTGAGCCATGTTCAATTGTCTTTATTACAGAAATTACTTTTTTGAAAACGTTGCAAGCAGATGTTATTAAATACTTTAAATAATTCATGGTTGTCCTTCAAAGATATCCTGTTTGAGACCGTCTTAACGTCGTCATTATTTTAACGGGATATGAGTTATAATGAATTGCAGCTATAAAAGCATAAAATGAATGATAATCCCTCAATTATATGTTAATAATTTTTATTTAAATAGGAAAACGTAACTTTAATATTACGATTATGTCCTGTGTTTTTGTTACCATACAAAATATTTACCTACTTCAAATTCTGTATCTGACATTTCATTAAAACAATGTAATTACATTTATTAAAATGTCATTTAGACTTGTCTTAATGCTGGGACATACTTCTTTCCCTTACAATCACGCCTATTTCCCCTATAAAATAATTATTGTTCAAATTAACACAGATGTGTCAAATAATTAACATAAATTAATTAACCAACGAATTTTAATACGCAAATGGAAGAAAATAAAATACGTGAAAGAAACACCACGTTGTTTATGACACATTTTCTAAAGGCTTCCTTGAACGCCGTGTTGAAGATTACAGAAAACACTGTACATATACTTGCAATCTATCTCATTCTCTCGCAGGCTAAATCTTATTTATAAATATGTTTCTATTTTTACTGTCGTTTTTTCATTTCATCGAATTTTCAAATCACAAGGGTGCTAAAGAAGTTTCACTTCAAATATTTGTGTAATACCAAATTGCTTACGTTATTGCTTACACAAACCATTATAACGCACGAAGGATACGAGTGATCTTAATAATAATAAATCTGCTTATATTACAGACTAGTGTAAGATCGCGATCGTAATACTATGTGCATTCATATTTCATGTAAAAAAACTGGTAATCCAGGCAGATTATCTAAAGAAAACTTCGATAAACCATTTTCGCTTTTTTAGCAAACCTCTTTCGATTTTATCTCGCTTGCTGCAAAGTTGCTAAGTAAACAAGCACATGTAAGCCAGTCAGCTTATTGCATCAGCCAAAAAGTTGACAACCTCTGTGGCTTTAATGGCAGCAACGGTAGATTGCCACATCTGAATGTGCTAAAAATTTAACTTTATGGTTTCTCACGCATATTTTAGGAAAAAACTCATTTTTCTGGTTCCTACGTACTTGTGCTTGTAAAACTTTATTAAAATATTGGTTTCCTTACACAGTTCTAATATGTACGTACGTACGTACGTATGTAAATTAACATACCTTCTTAATTCAATATATACGTAAAAATAATTCGTAAGTAGTCTGTGCATTATAATAGATTTATAACATGTTTGAATATTTTGTAAAAGGCAAATTCCTGATTGTTTTACTTTTAAATTCCAACAAGCACTTATTTTCATGTAACGTGAACAACTTGGTTCTCATTTTACATTTTAAAGAGTTCCATTACATACTTTATTTTCTTGATTCTAGAATTTTTTTAAAGTAAAATACTTCCTGACGTACTTTGTTATGTAAAAGTAATTTAAAAGGATTTTTACTAGGTAGAAATCGAGCGCAGAAAATAACAAATATATTATGGCAATTCCTTTCGTTCCTCCGAAACATGATCGGTATTTTTAAAAAGAAGCAACGTAGGCAAACAAGGAACAACAAGGAGAAAACGTAAGAGGCATGTACAGTAGTCGTACTAAGATATCACCAAGTTTGAATATTGACTGTAATATGTTTTTGTATTATGTTGGGTTCAATAAACAATTATCTTTTAAATGTCTATGCTAATGCTTGAAAAATTGCATGATATACGTTTCTATTTTTAGAAATTTGCCAGTAATTCGATGCGTCTTTATTTTATTATTTCCATTGTTATATTTTACGAATAGGTTGTCATTAGGTTGGTTTAATCTAAA